TGCGGCTGCTGAGCCTGTGTGTCCCCGCAGGGTCCCTGCAGGAGGATCCAGGGTTCGAGCTCCGAGTGCAGGACTCAGTGACGGTGCAGGAGGGTCTGTGTGTCCACGTGCCCTGCTCCTTCTCCTTCCCCGGGGTGGGCGGGAGCAACTCTACACCCGCTTACGGCTCCTGGTACCAGATAAAGAATAATCCCGAAGTGGAAGTTCTCATGGCCACGAACAACCCAGCCAGAGGAGCAAAGAGGAAAAACAAATTTCCATTCCACCTTCCTGGAGACCCTGGGGCTGGCAACTGCTCCCTGAGCATCACGGATGCCCAGAGGGGACACGGGGGAAACTATTATTTTCACCTGGACAGAGGTCTCACGAGACACACGTACAAGAGTAACAGGCTCACTGTGCATGTGAGAGGTAGGGAGGGCCCCCAAGAGTCAGTCACGGGGGCGGGGCATGTCCTCAAGGGCAGAAATGGACCCTCTGCTGCTCATCTTTAACGGGGAGAATGGAGCATGGTCTGTTCAATGTTGGGGTGAACCCAACCTGTTTCAGAGGCACACACGGGGGTCCCCTCTGGGGTCCGGCCCCTCCTTCTCTCCTCTCCTGCGCTGACACAGACCCCAGATATCCGGGTCAAGGAGCCCCTGGAGTCCGGCTGCCCCAGCCACCTGACGTGCTCTGTGCCAGGGGCCTGTGATGGGTCGATGCCCCTCACCATCTCCTGGACAGGGACTGCCCTCAGAGCCCCGGGACTGGACTTGGAGGCCTCTAACTCCTCGGAGATCCTGCTCACACCCCGCCCGCAGGACCACGGCACCAACCTAACCTGTCGGGTGACCTTCCCCAGGGTTGGCGTGAGCACCCAAAGCACCATTATGTTCAGCGTCTCCTGTGCGTGTAGGGCCTGGACTCGGGTGCCTGTGGGGTAGGGTGGGGGGGCTCAGAGGGGCTGCAGGGAGGACACAGGACTTGTCTGTGTCAATTCCCATTCCTGTGTCTCCTGGGGGTGGGTGGCGGGGAAGGGCCAGCTCCGACCCCATTCGTCACTGTGTCTCTCTGTCCCAGATGCCCCACAGAACCTGAGCATCGGCATCTCTCGAGGAAATTGCACAGGTAGGTCGGGAGGCCCCCCCGCTAAGGCTGGTTGGGAGCAGATCCCCCCCGGAGAGCAGAGCCTGGGGCTCGAAGCCAAGCTGGGAGGGCCAGGGTGACACACAGGGAGAGCAGAGTCAGGAGGCCCCCCCTTCACGGAGTGACAGATGATCTTTGCTTACTATTCATTATATGCAAAGACTATTTGTCACATGCATGCAAGTTACAAAGAATCACCATCGAATGAACACTTGGTACTCACCACCCAGGTTAAGAAATAGAACAGGGGCACCTGCCTGGCTTGGTCTGTGGTGCATGCGACTCTTGATCTTAGGGTCGAGTTTGAGCCCTGCGTTGGGCAGAGACTACTTTAAAAAAAAAAAAAAAATAGAACAGCAACTCCACCTTTGGAACACCCTAAATGCTCCTTCCCAATTTCAGCCCCTTCCATCTGGCCTCAGAGAAAGCCACTACACTGGACGCTGTGTTACCATCCTTTCTATTTTATTTTACTTTTAATCGATGAACAAATTGTATATATTTATTTTTATTTATTTTTTAAAGATTTTATTTATTTATTTGACAGAGACAGAGATAGCGAGAGCAGGAACACAAGCAGCGGGAGGGGGAGAGGGAGAAGCAGGCCTCCCCCCGGGGAGGGAGCCCAATGTGGGACTTGATCCCAGGACCCTGGGATCATGACCTGAGCCGAAGGCAGACGCTTAACGACTGAGCCACCCAGGCGCCCTAAATTGTATATATTTAAAGTGTATAACGTGATGATTTCATGGATGTTGAGTCGATATACCTTTACACTGCTAAAGGATGCATACAATCCAGTTAATTAACACGTCCATGTATCTTCTATTTTCTTATAATTTTCCGAAATACGTGTCTGGCTTCTTCCACTCAGCATGACGTGATCAAGGTTTATCCCTGCCGTAGCACGGGTCAGCGGTTCACTCCTTGTTAGGCTGAATATTATTCCGTTGTATGGAGAGACCACCATCCATCCATCCATCCGTCTGTGCTCGGATGGACATTTGGGTTGTTTCCACCTTGGGGCTCCTGTCGACAGGGCCGCTCTGAACATTTCCCTACAAGGATCTGCTTGACTCCCCGCTTCCAGATCTTTCGGATCTACTCCTAGGAGTGGATTTGCGGAGTCATGGCCCCCTATTCTGATGTGGCTCCACCTCATGTTCTTGCTTGTGGCTGTAATTTCTGCCTCTCCTTGTCTGTAGGTATCACATGTTAGTTTCACATTCCACTCTTTTAAGATTTGTATTTATTTGACAGAGAGAGAGGGAGAGAGCGAGCGCGCACAAGCAGGGGGAGCAGCGGAGGGAGAGGAAGAAGCAGGCTCCCCAATGAGCAAGGAGCCCGATGTGGGGCTCGATCCCAGGACCCTGAGATCATGACCTGAGCCGAAGGCAGACGCTTAACTGACTGAGCCACCCAGGCGCCCCTCACATTCCACTCTTGATGGGCACTTGAGTTGTCCACAGATTTTAGTTTTCATGATGCTGCTTTGAACATTCCCCTCGTGAACAGAAGTGTTTCCCTAGGGCGCCTGGGTGGCTCAGTTGGTTAAGCGACTGCCTTCGGCTCAGGTCATGATCCTGGAGTCCC